CTGTGGAGAAGCCTGCTGCTCCACCTGCAGTATTCAAGGTGACAACAACAATTTGGAGGATCTACCGCGAAATCAGTTAGGAAGGAGCCAGCTCGAAACATACTGAATGTTTGGCACGTGTGCTGAGCTGCCAAAGAGCTGCCAAATGATTACAGTAACTGACACCTTGTGACACTAACTATGTTGCATGAACTCGTTATTTGCTGACTAACTCATGTACTGTTTACCTTCCAGCCGCCAACCTCACTTGAATGTCATAAGCCTCGGAGCTGCACGCGCAGCCGTGGAGTCTGCCACTACACTACCCATAACTTCGGTTGGGAAATGCTATGGAAAATACATGGAAATACTATATTTCTCACGCTTTGGACGTGCAGTCCCAGCTTTTTGAGACTTTGGAGGCATGGAAGGGCCAGCAGTGACGTTCGCCGAACGCGCCTGTGGTTGCTCCTCCTCTTCCTCTTCATCATCCGAGACTGGCAAGTCTGTCATTGCGACAAAGCCGGTGCCTGCACGAAAGAGAGTGATCAACGTGGACCGCGCGTCGCATTGGCCGCCAGCAACGGCAAAGGAGTGATCGAGTGCTGTGAGGGCCCCGGGCCTTTCTTGACGACGGCCGATGATTTTCGCTCGGAATCCGATCTGGCATCCTGGCACAAGTCACACGTTGCATTTCACAATCAAGCACCTACTGGCCTGTATATTTGGCAGTGTTTCATATGTTTCATGAGTCATAAGGCTCGAGCTGCAGAAAAGCTCACCCCGCGTGTGCCAGGAGGAACCTGGCAGTTCAACCACCTGGCTAGTTACATTATGTTCATATTTTTTTTATATTCGCTAAAATTGGGTTTTCTCATTTCATATTTCAGGAATTCATCAGATTCATATTTTTTTCAGAAAATAAACCTATTTTCAATCCATGGCAAGCTCCAGGGTCACTGTGTCTCAAACCTAGTCTCTCAATACGAACGAAGCCAAGGACCCACCTGCGGCGCCTGCATCTCTTCATCCTCCTCGTCCTCATCATCAGAAGGTGGCAAGTCCGCCGGAGCAACAAAGCCAGTGCCTCCGTGAGATCAATGGCAGCAACAAAGCTTGTGAAACTAAATATGTAATGTAATCATATCATATCTATGATTATCTATGTCTATTCTATATCTGTATAGAGAGAGAGAGAGAGAGTTTCTTGCCGCCATCCAGCTTGTGACCTGCGTTCTGCGATATGTAGAACTGGATTGCTTCAAAAACAGGTACACGTGCCACTGGGATAGATACTTCAAGCCATCGTACCAACCTATATAGATACTTTCCAGGTGTGGACATGTGAAGACTGAGTTGACCAATCAGGACCCGCCCCTTTGACATCATTCATACCATTTCCTATGTCCCCGTGAGGGCCGGGACAAGGCCTGGGAACAAGATTGGATGAACCTCGTTGCCTACGAGTTCTCTGTTGCTTACCCGTCTCTTTGAGCTGATCGAATTGACTTGATGAAATTGAAACGTCATCCAGGAGTGTGGCGCAGAAAAAAAAGTAAAAGCGGCCAAACAAGCTGGGAGAATCGGGAGAATGTATTAATCCATGAAGGACTGGCTTAAGAGGAAGCCCCCCAAAAATGATAGTTATGTCCAGATCCCTGACTCCAACACATGCACTTGCTGGACCAATTTCACCAGCGTCAACCCGAAAATCCCTGAACAACCCCCAACTGCGCACCAGCCTTTCTTGATCGCTTTGGCCGTCCCAGTGTCATGACCGACCTGAGCCCCGGCTTTCTTCGGGTTTCGTCGTCCGGGTCGTTCCACCCGTGTCCCCACGGGGCTCGGGGCTCCCCACGGCCGAAATGCTCACCCTGGAGGTGCCCGACGAGGTGGCCGGAACCTCGCTTCCCGGTTCGCGGCGGAGAGCGAGGGGCGAGAGGACCGAGTCGTTTCTGTTCGCCCTTTGGACTCCTTCGTTGTTTCATGCGATGTGTAGGGGGCACTTCATGCTGTGCCCAAGTGGATATGGCATCGATATGAATCGATATTGAGAAGGCCGGCGGCATGGTTCCCAACAGTTGTAGTCCTGCTTTTTTTGGGGGGGGAGGAATGGGACAGGCCCCTGGAGCTAGTGTGGATGAACCAAGGCTGCACCACTATAAAGATCCATAAATAAAGTGCAGCCAGCATCTGAATGCATCTGAAAGCACTAAGGTATATTAAGACCATCACTTGATATGCCAACATGGTGCAACACCTCACTCTGGCTGTGAGGAAGGGCCCTTCACAATGGTCCCATTCAAAGTCCAACCAAATCCCTTTCTTGGAGATGATCCAAGCATTCTGGCCAAGAATAGCAATAGATGAAACATCTGGATGTGCATTGTGAAGTGAGACCCCCCAACAAACGGAGTGCTTGCCTCTTTTCCGGTGGGGGGGTCTCCATATGTCCATACTCACCTGCTCAACACTGCTTGGTTCAAACCTGCGAGTGCACTCCACGCCTGCGTTTCCTCCTCCTCCTCTTCCTCATCATCCGAGACAGGCAAGTCTGTCACAGCGACAAAGCCAGTGCCTGCACGAAACACCATGCAAGAAGCAAGGGAGAACATGCAGCAACCTTCTCCGATATCACAACCGGCTTTCAAAACTGCGTGTCCTGGCCTCTCTTGACCGCTGCTTTGCTCTCCGAATCAGATCGGGAATCCTTGTGCAAGCTACACGCGTGCGCATGGTTGGAAACTGCTGCTACAAATCTTCACATCAATTGACAGCATCTTAAGGCTGGAGCTGCGGAAAAGCTTACCCCACGTGCATGAGAACCAGCAGCTGGAGCCTGGCAATTCTTGCATCAACCACCCCGACGTGCGACCCTGGGCAGAGTAGAAGCATATTAATATGAAGAATCTTTCTCCAAGCATCCTTAGAAACGTCTGTCATTTCTTCAAAGCATTGTGGAAATGTCATGAAAAGTCTATGGCCCAAAAATGGCCGGACCAAAAGCATGAGAACTCGATGGAAGACAACGCTCACAGGTCTGGCTTTCAGATTTTTCACGCTTCAGCCGCTTCAGCCTCTTCGTCGTCTTCGTCCGACTCTGGAAGGTCCCCAGCGCCAACAAAGCCAGTACCTGCAATGTGGCACATCCCAGGCCATCTCTCCGAACGGAGAGGTTGGGAGTGGCGTCCCCACCAGGATGCTACCATGGATGGTCTAGAGATGTCTTAGAGTCATCTAGAGTCTGGGTGGACTGCTTACTTTACCAGCAACCTGCTGGGATGCTGGGGTCGTGCCTTCAGTTAAACTGTTAAACTGACATCAAAATGAAAAGGGGCACCCCTTTTTCAGACCCTTGACAGTCGCCGGTATCAGACTTCAGCAGCAAGTGAAGTCTTCGGTCCTACCATGCCTGGCCTTTCCTGCCACTGGTCCTTGCAGCAGTCTCCTCGGTCTCCTCAGGGAGGCAGGCTCGGAGAGCCGGCTTGGTGGCTGAAGCAAGCTCACAAGAAGCTCCGACCACAGTCAATACGAGAAGATGCAGCAAAGCAAAGGAGTCAAGAAGACGGCCAACAGTTGTGCTGATTTCAAAGAAGCTTTGCCAGCTGGCCCCGTCCCCAACTCATCACCACAGCTCACTCCTCCCATGTGCATTGTTTCCCAGAACCGGTGGCCGCCACGGTCTTCTTCAAGGTCTTGCTCCTAAGATGCGGATTGAATCTGATATGGGGGACCCGTCTATCGGCGATCTGTGACACAATACACACTACCTATGTCCAGGGCTCTCAACTGCTTCTTCGAGCACCTCCCTCATCTCCAGCTTCGAGGAGAGGTGGCCTGCATCTGGCTCACCATTTAGAGGTTCTTCCGGAGCAAAGGAAGTTTTCTTGCCGCCTACGCCCTCAGGCGTTTCATTCTCACCCACCGCCCGGCGGACGGCTTCTTCCAGGCTCCCTGATTGGAAGGCTTCTTCCAAGCGCCCCTTCAGTTGAAGCCTCACCCCTTCCAAGCCTGGAAGGACGAGCGGCTCTTCTGCCGCTGGCCCCGGCGCTTGCTCCACTTGTACGAGCTCTTTCTGGGGCGGCCGGGGCCGACCCGCAGCGCCCCGAGGCTCCGACGGCGGCGTCGGGCGCACGCCCATGGCGCTGCTGGGGCGAGAGACGATTTGCGCCAAAGTGCCCCGTTTGGATTGGGCTGCGCTGAGCTGCTCGATCATGTAGGCATAGGGATCAGATGGCTTCACCTGCGCGAAAGAAAAACCTAGAAAAACGGCCTTCTTGGATCCCCAAGCTGGCCTCAATTGACTCAATTGAGCTGAGCGGACTTGAACCATTTCCCCACCTGGATCACCGCATGGAGCAAGGCTTGGACGTATTTCAGCAGCCCATGCCGCTCCAAGTAGTCCTTGAAAACAGGCTGGAAACCCCAACCACCCACACACCGGGGAAACCCGTTTTCATGACTCACATGGGCCTTTGAAAAGTCTGTGATCATGTGCCACCCCCAGATGTTCCACCAACGAACTGGGGCCTCACTGATGCTTCCACCGTTTACCTGGGGCCGACATGGTCCTTGGCACTACTGGCCGCATCCTTGGAGCCTTCCTGCGATGCTTCCTCGCGGCCCGTGTGGGGGCTGCACTTCAAGCCCACGAACCTCAGATCACAAGAGGGTCAGGGGTGAAAAAGGGTGAACACGTGTCCTCGGTCCTGGGAGGACAGCTGGCGCATGCTGGCAACCTCCCACAAAACCACCTTTGTAAGGAAAAGGCCGCATCAGTTTGGTGACATTTCTTGTGGCATTGGGTGACTAAATGACGAAACTCGATCGAAACTCGAGTCTCCAAACATGGAACCTTCCAGCAAGGGCTACTGAAGCTCCATCCAACAAGATCCAATCTGCAATCTGCATCGGTTGGGGCCGGCCTGATCATTCCCCCCGATTCCATGGACTATTAACTAAAACTTCACCAGCTGGAACTCCAACGAGGTCGGTGATCTGTCAACATCCCATTGACCAGGTTTTCCACGTCTCATCCCAACACCTCCCCAGCTACTCCGGCCAAACTAAGGTCATCTCACCACGGGATCCCGGAAATCTGCAAAAAAAAAGGATGGGAAGAATGAAGCCCAAAATCATCCATGTGCCAGGACCGATAGGGAATGCATAGCAAACAACCCTTATCACTGACGATTAGCAGGGTGATGGACAACGATGCTGGAACGTGCTGCTAAATCTTGCTGTCTTATGGCCACGCTCGACCAAATCAACTCAGGTCCAGTGGCATGTCGCTGTTCTGTTCAAAGGCCACATTGTAGAGATCCTCCCTTGGATGAAGCACCAAGCGTGCTGAGGCCAAGGGCAACAGCACATCCACTTTCAGCGGCTCCCCGAGCTCTCCTGCACCGCTACTCGGGGGACCCAGAAACACGCGAAAACTCAGCTGCTTCATCTCTAGGAGAGCCAACATGCCATACCAGTATACCAGTCCACCTGTGTGTTTCCCCGAAAGGAAGAACTTTGAGGGTTCGTGAGTGGTGCAGGACTGGGTGTGGCAGGACCTGTAGGTGAGTGGATGTGACCAGACCTCATGATCAAATGTGTCTCAACGTCTGCATCCGAAGAGGAGGAAAAATACCACAAAATCAAAGAAAAGGCAAAGCCAACGGCAAAAGCACAGACCCCAACAGAAAGGTTTCACCTGGAAATCTGAGGCTTTTGGCCCATCCGCTGGCTTTCAGCCCATCCGAGGCCGTGACCTAGGCCGATGGGGAACTTCAAGGGATGGTGAGCCACCGTCTCAAAGGGAGCTTGTCGGCGCGTCGAACCACAGCGCACAGACAGGATGCAAGCCTCTGGAATACCTCAACAAGGACACCAAACGCATAGATGTGCATAGGATCCATCCGAGCAAGGAGCTCATGCATGCAACTGAAGGCATAGAGTATATATATATATATATAAAGACTCTCAAGTCAGGGCGAACTTATGTCCGCCCACTCGCTTTCATCGACTTTCACGTGTCACCAGGGGGGTGCCCTCCAAAGCATAATGGGTGGGGGCTTTCCGCCTAAACTCTCCACCATGCTCGTCTTCGGGTGTCGAAAAACAACTGAAAACCACTTCTGCACTGCCAAGTTCACCAATGGAATGATCCAACAGTATCTCCATGGCGGGAGCGCTTGAGGGCCGGCCCGCTTCGACGGCTCGCTTTGATGCCAAAATGGCCATGCAAAACGGAACCACTCAGCTTCAACAATTTCAACAGCGACACAGGGCTGATGTTCTGCCGAACGAATCCTATCCCTGCGGCCCTGCGCTCGCTCATCTCTTTGATTTCGTTTGTGACAGTTTCTTGCCAAAGGTGTCGCCGCTTCAACTCTGTCAAGTAGAGTAGAGGGCAAATGTCAAGCAAAAAGAGAGGAGAGAGAGAGAGAGAGGAAAAAAAGAAGTAGAAAGTATATGAAATTGCTGTGGAAATGTTCTTCCATCTTCATTGCCCTCCTCGTTCCGTGTTCCAGCTCCGAAACCGATCTTCCGGACTGAGACTCCAGCTCCGGTCCATTGGGCCTGAGACTCCGTGGTTTCATGGTGGTCCAACCCTTCTCGTGCACGGAACATGTCCCCCCATCCGGAGTGCAACCCACTCCCGGCTGGCCTCATTGGGAAGCAGCAGATGGAAGCGGAAGAGCTGAAGGATGACCAAATTCCACGCGATTAACAAGTGAGTTGGAGAGTCATGCAAACTACCTGGTGTTGATATACAATCCATTAGAATTCTATTGGGTCTAGGTCTGAAAGCTTGCAGTCAGGGGTTCTCCATGGCGCCAACCAACTTCAAGTTGACCCCAAAATGTTTTGCTCTACGCCGGTACGCCGCCATTGCTTCTCTTTGGTGAAATCTCTGCGGATGAATCTTGCCACATCTGCACCACCAGGTGGGCTCGTGCATTGCCACATTGGCTAGGATTGAATTGTTAGACAATGCCAAAACCGCCTAGGTAAATTGCTTGAACATATATCATCTGAGTTGCCGCGAAATGAACAGTCTAGCAGTCTAGCAAGACACTGTCCAATCCACCATCACAAAAAAGTAGCTTCACTATACCCCAATGGGGTGAACTTCGGTGGGCCAAACTACCTTTGCCGGTCTCTCTTTTTGCGCCTCCACATGCACCGCGCATCTCTCCCGTGTCCCTCTTTTAACTCCTCGCTCAGCATCACATCAGGTTCATCAAGAACCAAGGTCTTCAGTTCACCATGTGCTTCGTGCACACGTCCTGATCCGCCTGTGGGGCGTGCGCATCTCAGCCGCCAGGTGTCAGCATTTCTTGAACCTCGGCACGGCCACTGTGGCTCACCCAGCGGGGTGTCCTCATCCTCCCCACATCAACCCTCCACAGGTTCACCCACTCCCAGCGTCTCAAGCCCGTTCATCCCAGGCACGTACCCGGAAATCTTGTGCTGGGCCAAAAACATGGAGATCTGCACCTTCGGGCAGGACTCTTCGATAGCATGCAGTATAAAGGGCCTCCATGACTAAAGGACTGGGAGATGCAACTGATGGAGCCCAAGTCTGTTTAACAAAAACGAAGTCTTTCTCTTCAAAGATCAGGTTGATTGGTTTAATTCAGTGCAGGTAATCATTATGTATCCCCCTCTCTTTCTCTCCTTCTGTCTTTCGATGGTCAATTGAAAGGTCGTCTTTCCACCTGCCAGGGAAGTCGTGCAAAGATCTGCGGCCCAGCTGCCACGCTGATGGATTCCACCATGCTTTTCAAAGCAGAGAGTTCGGCCACCTGTGCCCGCAATTGATGGTTCTCCTTCCACAGCTTCAGGGTCTGGTCCTGCTGGAGCTGCGACGTTTGGTGTGTATGTGTGTGTATGTGTGCGCGTGAATGGTCAATATATATAGAGAGAGAGAGGGAGATTTATGATAGATTGGTAAAATGTGATAAAGTTATGCATAGACACAGTTTCGACCACCTGTTCGTTTACACGCCCGTCTTCACTCGTCCGGGCACGCGGCGTCCTTCACTGCGATGGGGCCGACGATCCTGGGGCGCCCAGAGAATCGTTCGCCATCGGGGCACATCTCCAGATCCAGGGTGGAGTCGCCCTGCGAGGGCACTCAAGGGACAGGCGGCAATGGCAGTTTGGACAGATGAACATTGAAACCTTGCCATGGCAGAATGACGATGTGCAGCAATGCTTTCCGATTTCAATCTCCTCGATTTGGCGTGCTGGTGCATCCAACGTCTCAAGGATCAATGATGATACAACAAATGGAAATTGTACTATATAGCTGAAAAAGCCAAGAGTGCGGACCTGTTCTTGATAGCACGACACAGCGACTAGGAGTACTTCTGCCTCATCTTCTGAGCCTTGCCTTGTGAAGCACCTTGGCCATCTCCCAACCTCTGGATGTCTCAACCTTCACCTTGTCATCGACCGCAATCTGCGCATAGTCCATGGATCCCAATACGTTTCCTGACCACTGCTCTTGCACAAATTTCGGAAAGGGCTTCTTCAACCTTCTCATCCACGACCTCAAAGGATCTTCAACGATTTTTTTGCTTCTTCCAATCCGCAAAGCCCTGGAGCCCTGAACATCACCCTGGAGCCCCTCTACTATATCTGCTCGTTCCGGTCCTGCCGGACGCCGCACCCAGGGCCGGCCCAAAGGGAACGTCTCACCTGAGGGCGCGGTGAGACGAGTGCACAAACACAGGAAGGATTTTGTTGTTGATGACATGAATGGAAGGCCTGATGCATGTACCAACTCATTATGTAAAATTAGGGATTACACATGGTCACAGCGAAGCCGAATCATGTCCTACTCCACGAAACTGTTGCAGCCGAATCACACACGCACACGCACAAACACACTCCACCTTCCACCTGTCGAGCCCTTCCAACTGTCCGCTGTTTTCTCCGCTTTTGGGACAGCCGAGCGTCCATCTTCAAAGGCCACAGCGATGCTGTCATTGGCTGCTTGGATGCTTTGCACGTGGGCCAGCTCCCAGCCGCGCGTCGTACAGACCTCCACAGCGTCGTTGACGTCCAAAGCCACCTGAGTGGTTTGGTTCGAGATGGACGACCCCGGCCAGCCGACCAGGGCGACCACTTTGGCGCTTTTTGTTAGCTCTTGTTCATGCTGAACTGGTGGTGATCAAACGTTCTTGCTTTTTTCCACACCAGAAGTAGAGAGGCTGGAAGCAACGACATTCTCCAGCAGCTGCGATCAGTGAATCTAGTGAGTCGAGCCCTTCTGACGGTCATCACTCTCACCACCTCTGACTGCCGTGGCACATATCGCCATGGGAAGCGACGGAACAGCACCCCACTGAACCTCAGCCAGGTTTGGCCTAGAGACCTCACGGGAAGCCCTCAAGCACATGTTCTTTATGATTCTTGGCTCATTAGCTTGTCCCGATAGACTGGATCATACTTGAAGTAATCCCATCCCTTCCCATCCGGCCAGCTCGAGCTGAGGTGCCAGAAGGGTTTGAGCTGCTCATCCAGCGGCCTCAACTCAATCTCCTGAACAGATTTTGGAGGCACAAGTCTCCAACAGTTGGCTCTTCAACATTTGGAGGACTCCATGTTCCTTCGTGCGTTCATGCCTGGACATTACAGGTAAGATCTGCATCTTCCTGGTTGTTGGTTTTTGCGTGCTTTTCTCAATTCGGATGGTGGGTCCGCAAGTATGGCAAGCATGAATTATACGTCTGTGCGGGGAGAGTGTTCAGCCAAGAGGGTCGGCTTGGTTGATCCATCAGTTGTGTGTAACAGCCTACGGCCTGTTCCAAACAGGACGGCAATGGTCAATCTGGACCTCCAAGACTCTGCAATCAAATACATGCAGTAATGGTAGTTTCTATGTGGTTGGGGCCCAGTTGAAAGTTTCCGCGTGCAAACCACTGGGGAGATCCGAAGAAAGCAGAGTTGTCAAAGCACCACAGAAGAGTTGGTCCAAAGTCCATGTGGAATGATCCACTGAAGGCAGACCACGATGCTTGGAAGGACCTGGTCTCGCTTGGATTTCTATCGTAACGCTCTTGTTGACCGTCTTCCTGACCACCCCGGCAGCACCGGACAGCACTCGTGCCACGCTGTACCGCCCTGCGCGAAACTGCGTCCCAAGCGGCCGTGCCACGCTTCGAAAGGATTTGCCCCGCTGTCCAGGCCACGTCCAGCAAGCTTGTCTTCCCCAGCTCCGTGGCGACCTCCACCACATCGCCTCCGAAAAAGCTCCGTGTCGACCGAAGCGGTGTGGTTGTGGGTCGGCTTCGCTGTGGCCATTGGGAGGTGCTTCATGGGGCGGATTTAGGCATGCATCTCAAGAATATCACGACATGCCAACTCTCGGAAAGGAACACGTAATAAACTTCCCTCACCTGCTCACTTTGCACCTGCTGATGTCCCACTTCGTGGCAGTTCGCAGCACGAAAGGACACACCGCAGAGCGCTGCCAACCAGCCATCTTGATTCCCCTCCGCCCTGAATTCAATTGAGAACAGCACCAGGTCACCAGCGACGAACCCACCACACAAACCCGCATCTCCGGCACCTGCCTTCTTTCAAGTCCAATCGCGGGACCACGAGGCTCAGGAAGCCATCCTGCAGACCTGTCGGCTCAGGAAGCCGTCTCCGAACCTACTGTGCCGCTCTATGCGGCCCTGGGGCGCTCCCAGCCTGGGACGGCCAAGACCTTCCGCGTGGCGTTCGCGGAGAAGACGACCCGTGGCTCCTGAGCGTGGCGGGCCGAACGAAGCGGCTGAAGAGGAGCCGAAGCTCAGCCGCCCATGTGCCCCGGAAGGTGGCCCATGTGCCTACGCGTGTCTACGCCGTCTACGCGCCTGCAATGAGCCAGCCCAGGCCTGGAAAAAGGTCTGAGACCACCCCTGGAGTGGTGGTCTGCATTCAGAAGAAACAAACTGCCCACCTACCGGAAGCCTTATACACTTACTTTGGTCCCACATGTTCTTGCCCAAACGCAAACCCAGCAGTTGGAGGCTCCATCTTGCACATCTGAGTTCTTCTGCAAAAGACTTGGACGGCCGACTCTGCTCCAGTTGTTTTCCGTGACCAGCCGCAGTGATGACACTCGAACTTTCATTCCAGCTGCATCTGAGCACCTTAAAACATGACATATGAGCATTTGAACAGCCTAGGCAACGCAAAGTGTTCAAAGCTCCTCGGGTTTCTTGCGTCCACGTGAATAATCACAGCAATCTGCACCAAGATTGAAAGAATCAAATCCCAGCACCTGGTGGGTACTTTCTAGAGAGTACGGGTATGTTGTTGAGTGCTCAGGTGTGCCAACCTACCTGGGCTAGCACCTGACCTGATTCTGCCAAGTGAGCAACGCGACGATTCAAAAATGTGGAGGGGTCAGAACCCTGCAGCAAACTGCGAAACCCTCTTCTGGCACAATGGCAGCAGTGCCACAGCTGGTGGCTGCACCAGAGCTAGAAACACCAGGTTTTGACCCACAGCTATGCTTCGTTGGTAGGACCTTTACATTTGCAAAGGCCCTCCATTGATGAATCCTGCACTCATGGCCTTGAGACAACGACCGTTGGCCATGTGAGACATGATTTATCGGCCATGACAGGACTGCCAGTCCTGGGTCACCTCCAAGGCCAAACACAACAAACCAACACGGAAACACTTTTATAACTCCCGACCACTGGCCACACCGACAACATGTGGCGTCCCACAGTGCCCTCGGAGGCTGACACAGGTCTGGCAAGAGTGAAACGGACAGAACCAGGTGAGGCCTCAGCAAAAGGGGTGTTTCCAAGGCAAGATCAACGAGCCTCGTGATGTATGGGAGCATTGGGAGAAGCACTATGAACTTCCACTGGATTGGTCACCAGCTGGAAGAATATGTTTGGTACAAAATCTGAATACAAGAATGGTGTTCAAAATGGTTCAATTCCTGAGAGCTGCTTCAAATTTGATGGGGCAAAACTGTCCCCTCAGATCTGAAATTAGACCATTCACCAATTCTGTCCAAGTCCAGCTATGAGGTTGCCTCCCATTCCATCTCAAGGTTTCCATCTTATGCAACTCAACTCGGGGCGTCCCTTCATCAAATGTCAAAACATGTCATTGAGTCAAACCCCTTTGCCAAAGCCATACCAACTGTCAAACCATGATTTCTACGAGCGCCAATCCATACCGGGGATACTGTGGCAATTCCTGAGGATTATTCGAGGAGCTGGAAATCCTACGAGTTGGATCCAATCCTGGGGATTTGACCCAAGGGTCTTTTTTGTTTGTCACGGTTTATGTCAGCTTTCTACGATGACATGTTTCGGGAACCTGAATGGATTTCATGGGACTCGCGCAAGCCAAAGAAAAGGCACCTAGAGCCTTCGAGTGGTGAAAACATGGCTCTACAAGGCAGGTCCCAGCACTATAACTACAGCGATCGACCATGAAGACTGCTCTAAACCTGTGATCCTGTGGTACGGGAGGTGTGAGGTACCGCTGTAGGACGCTGGCTGACCTGCTCACACTGTTTTCGTTCTCGGCCGCGGCCGCCAATTCGGTTCTGTGGCCTACCGAGCCGCTGGCCGGCGGTCACCGTGCCCTAAACAAAGCCAAACACAGGACGTACAACCGGTGTGACCCGCCAGTTTCTCGCCCACCAGTCTGGCCCGCTCCCCCCAATCGTTTGCCTAGCAGCTCGCAGTAGTGTTGCGAAGGCCGCGGGTGGTGCTCATTGCTTCTTCTCCGGAAGCTTCCACACGGCATTGTAGATGGTGTGCATAGCATCTTGGAACCTGAAGCCAGCCATGCAACAAGGCAATTCAAGCCCTGGCATGACCGCATGCCCTTTTTCCGACGGGGTCCGGGGTCCCCACATAAATGTTCTTCATGGCAGGCCATTCTGTCTTTAGATCGGGGCATCGGGAGGATTTCAATGTTCCCCCTTCACTATACCATAAAGCTCCCAAGATGCCTAAAGCCGCCCCTGGCCGAGCGGACGAAGCGGAGGGGTAACGCCGCTTGTTTCCGTCACCGGTGCAGTCGAGGTGCTCCGTGGGCAACGGCGCTCCCTGTAGGTGAGTCAGGACCCAGCGCGGCTGGATGTTCGCTGAGGCTGCCAGGGAGTCCTGCCCCAAATGGATTTCGAAGGAAAAGCGGCCAGCATCCAAGACTAGTGACTAGTGGTTGGTTTGGGTTGCTGGCCTTGGTTCCAAGATGAACTAGGTCATCTACACAGTTGGATTGCAAGGATGACAATGATGCAACATGTTTGGACGGATGTGTTTGATTAAACGTCGCAGTAGGCTCTTCCCTTTCTACAGCATGGAACTGGCACTGAAGTGAGATGCTCTTTGAATGGGGCTATTATTCATGCCTGCAGTAGAGTAAATTGAGCAAAAAAATTATGCCGGCATAGACCCCAAACAGATTCAGCTTCTTTTTGCGTCAACTCCTTGAATTCCAACCATATTCCTATAGCCCCCAGCTGCTTGGGAACAGCTGTTCCTGATTCCTGGGTCACATGCGCAAAAACGATGGTATATATAAAATTATATACTCCGAACTGAATGGCAAGTGCACTTTAACATGGACCACTGGAAACGGCGACTTCCTGGGGAAACGGTGTTAGCTTTTTTGGGGCAATTTCTGGACACTCACTAACATGGACCGTTCCCACTCTCAGTCTATGATCGATTCTGACACTAACATGGACCAAGTACAATCTGACTATAAACTGAACGCAGGCTAACATAGACCGCCGGTAGAGGTCAACATAGCCCGGTGGAGGCTAACATGGACCATGCCAAATACCCGTGCGGCCCACCATGGCACATCGGAATTTGGTCTAGGTTAGGCTCAACGGTGTCCGCTCCGAAACTAGACTAACATGCGGCCAAAAAAATGTTTTTTTGACAAAAAAGTTCGTTTTCACCGGTGTAATCATTATAATATGAGTTCATGAGAAGTCAAGGACAGGATGATATCAAACTCGAAACGCTGTTTATCACTGTTGCATTCATAGCCACACGAAAACATACCCGGACAAGGTGGTGGAGAAAGAGAAAGCGGGACAAGGCTCGGACAAGGCGTTGACAAAGCCCTCTCCGGGCGGAGAAGATCGGATAAGAAAGGCACGGCAACAGCGCGCGGCCACGGTGTCATCACCAGTGCAGACACCAGGAGGTCACAGGGTAGGAGGACACCAGGAAGACAAGAGAGGCCAGAGGACAGCAGGAGGACACCAGGATGACAAGAGAAAGACACAGCGCTTGCCAGCGCGGCCAAGGAGGACAGTAGGAGCACACCAGACAAGAGGATAACACAGGATAAGACTAGCGCGGCCAGAGGACAGCAGGAGGAAACCAGGAGGACAACACCCGGACATAGGGTTCAGGGGCGCGGCCAGAGCCTGTGACCAGCGTACCTCTCCTAAGAGAGAGAGAGAGAGACCCAACAGATCCCAACTATAAATCAAGGAGAGGAAGGTCTCACCAGGGGCTTCACACACCGCCCAGTGCAACCCACCTTTCATTACTGGTCTCCTGCTTCACGGCCTTCACGTGCATGGGGATGGACCGGCTGAAATCCAAGCCCAAAGGTCTCGATAAGAAACGCACTTCCTGCCCGGGCGCGACAGAGAGAGCGGTAAAGGAGGGGCGCGTCTCAAAAACCGACGGTTTCATTCCTCAAGTTGCCACCCCCTACATACATGTTTGACATGCCAAAATTTCAACTGACAAGGGTAGTTGGAAGATTCCAGAAACCTCAAGGTGGTTGAAAACGGGGCCCCGTTTCGGTTCCTTTTCCCTTTTGTGCATGTGACTTCAACTGAACTTGGACGGCGGGGGCGTTCGGGGGAGATGAGAAAGCTTGTTTATATCTGATTATCTGTACTGTTTTGGCTTTCACACCCATCAGCTCCATGACGGATTTGCATCTGGAAAGTTTGGCGTCTCTTTGTTTATTGTTGAGAACTTACTTGAGAACTTAGGACTAGGAACATGTGCATTCTTGTCCCGAACGCGTGAGGCCTTTTTCCCTGGCACATGCCTGGAACGTGGGCAATGCACCGGGAATTTGTGGAAGCATTTTCGAATCATACAACCTATCCATTTCTTGCCTTTGCCCACCACCCAGTCTGCTTGAAGAAAGCTTGCAGACAGTGGCAATGGCGCTGGTTGCATCAGAGCGAAATAAATGTGGCGCAAAGACAGATTGGCAAAAAACTGAGTGAATAGAGCAAAACACGCTCCTGCAGGCATGGAAAACAACAGACACGTGTTTCCAAGTGCATCAGGCGCAACTATGTACAACCCGGTGATTTGTATTATCAAAGTGCAACAAAACATTGTTTGATGCACCTCCAAACCCGAAAAGTCATACCAAATGGGAATTGAAGCTGGCCTTGATGGTCTTATTGGGCAGCTCGAACGTAAAGCTCAAACCTTCCTGATCTTCGCCCTGCCAAACGCCGACAGAACCCACAAAGACTGGCCAGGCATAGCTGTCCATTTAAAACAAACAACTCATGCTGAATCTCCTGCCAGTGATGAATTCTTGGCGCAAAGAATGCTTGGGTGGTTTCCTCTTACCTCTCTGCATCTCTCAGGTGAACCACGCATCCGCACAGCGCCACGTGAGCCTTCCGTTCCTGCTGGTCCTCTTGAGCCTGCGGCTGGCCATGTGATCAACTGGAGTTTTTAAAAGATTCTCCTCCATGCTGCAGCCGTCGAATCCCAAACACGCCTAACCAGGCCCTGGGCACTGCCCTGGGCATATCACAGTACATCACCCAGAGCCTGAGTCCGTTCCAATTTGAGGAGCACCCTTCTACCCACGTCATCAGTCATCAGACTTCTACCATGGGAATGGCGTCAACCCTGCACGGACCAACCAAAGTAATGGAACAGTCTTCAAGATCCAATGGCAATTTCCGCCTTGCACGAGCAAATGCCAAAAAGAAGCCCCTCCAACAAATCGTTGTGCCGTTCTCCCGGCACCCGACACATGCCCAGCCGCCCAGCTTCCCCCCACGCTCCGAGGCTGCAACCCCCCCCCCACCTCCGACATTGACAATGGCACACCGCCCACCACTTCCACGACCTAGGCGTCACAGGTTGTTGCAGCTCCACAGGTCGCCAAGCACAAAAGCTAAGTACAAAGGATCAAACAAATTCAAAAAATGATGGTTTTGACTCACTTCCGACCTTTGCAAATGTCTACTTTATAAAGAGAAGTCCAATTGTGCTGCTATTTTCTACTATCGACTGGCCCTGCTAACCAAATCTGATGTACGGATCAACTGTGGTGGTATCGACGTTGAGACCAGCTGCATCTTTGTCGGCTTTCTCACAGCAGCATGCGAACATCTTCCACCTCCCTGGATTGATGCTTTGAGCCAATCTCAATCGACTGCGGGGCCGAGACAAATCTGCATCCAAGTTCTGCATTCTCCGTCGTCTGCTGTCCAAAGACCCGCATCATGAGACATTCTCCTTCTAAAGCCCCACCGCTACAGGGGGGCGCTCTCTGTGCCACCTACGTCCTGAGAAAAGTGAGCCAAGTGCCTCATCTCCTCGAGAGCTTTTTGTCCAGGCGAGGTCAGTTGCAGACCTCCCTACTTGGTAAAGGGGCCCCCTTTGCATGTGCACCCCCATCCTAAGCAGCATGCACCTCAACTGTCAACTGCACCAACTCAACTCCCGGTCACAAGGCCTCTCGCGTGGCTCCAAGTACGGTGCACGCCTCAGGCAGGAGACGATGCGTTCACAAAAGAAACAACCTCCCGTGTTCATCGCAGGCGTCCCTGGAAACTAGGCTTTCGGCTTCTCACTGGAAAATTGTCCACTCAGGTGTTTTCAAAGAGACATCTTGAGAGAGAGAGAGAGAGATCTGATAGACCCTAGTGTTCTTTCCGCTTCTTAGCCTCCCCCCCCCAAAAAAGGAAAAAAAACATCGTCCAAGGCCCGGGCTCCAAGCCACAGGGGAGGTCCTTGAGGCAACGTTGTGGGGTCGCATGCAGTGTGACCGGACCCATTTTTGGTGGTATATACTCCCCTGCACGTTAACATGGAACTCCAAAACCACTGGTTTCTAGAGGAAAATGATCTTCTATGGGTGAATTCTCAGGTTCCATGTTATATAGTTTGCGGAGGGTTACCGGAATCTTCGGTGGACCATCTAGCTGGTCCACCATCAGATTACGTGTTGTTGGGGTACGAATCCTGTGGGGTATCGGCGGTATCGGTGACAGGGTTTTGCACACCCCATGACTGGGCATGTTTCTCGCGTGCTGGTTGCTGGTTGCTTATGTGATCTCACACGTCTGCACTCTGCTGACGACCGAACAGTCAAGACTTGGGAGCCACACTCATCGAGACTTGGGGGACATTGCGCAGTGGCGCACTCAGCTGATCTCGCTGTTTCACAGAACACCCTGAACTTGAGCTTGATCCAAATGTCACGAATGATTCACAAAGGTCGTCCAACCCGCACGGATCGTCCAAATGTCAAGCGCTGCGCTCGACACATGGATCTTCCAGACAACTTTCCGTTCGGCTCAAGGAACGATGACTGTAACGATGACTGCGCGGCTCCACTATCTTGAGGATCAAATACTGTAGATTTGTTGAAGCTTTGTACAAGGGCATGGCACGCGTTCGCGCGCGCCAGCAACACAACAGCAATGGATGGCGCATGGATGCCCTGCAAACGGTAGCACAGTGCCTCCATCCATCTGGATGTGGCCAGCTGAAAACTGAGCAACCTACTGCTGGAAGGCTGACGGCTCAGTGTGTCCGGGTGATGAACCCCTAAAAAATAGGCACCATTGACCCGGCAATGCATGCTAATATTAAGCATCCCAGTCATCCCAGACCTGCTGCAGAAGCAGTATGCAACTAACAATGATGTTTCATGCGTTGTTGTTGCATTCTTGTGCTACCTTGTTATGCGTTATGCGACATGGATCTTGCTGCCCCACAGCAGCGCCCTACAGCGGCGAAGAAACCCCGCCGTTCACGCGCGTCACAGAAGGGCTGGGGAGCGGAAGGGCTCGGGGACACTTGGAGTGTCCACCTGCGTCGCCTGGGTCACGGATGCTGCGACCAGTCCGGATGATGCACCTCTACCAATCCGAGTCGTTACAAATGTTAGATACAAGCTGGACAACTGCTTTAAAGACATGTTGTCTCGTCTTTTTTTGCTATTTCCCCTGGCCCTCCTAGCTTGCATCCATCCCTTCCGACCACACCAAGGCACCCATTCCTCCTCGCTCCGGGTCTTCAGCTCTCCTTGCAACTTGCCGCGCAGCTCTTCGAGCCATCCTAAGGGGCAGGGAAAAAAGGGAGATCTCAACGGAGCATTCCTCGTGTGGAGAAGAATGGGGCGATGTCAACTGCAGCTTGGACGGATGAATCGGATGCGTGTTTATGGTTGAAAGTTGGAAGCGTGTTCGTCGACGAAAACTGGTGGTACACACCCAAGTCTTATCCGGTCTTATCCTCAAGATGACCGTGCTCCTTGCAGAAATGGAAGGTTCTGATGTTCTTGTGGCAGTGATGCGGGGCGCATGCGGGCGTCTGTCAGGTTGCTAGTGACTAGTGACTTGGCGATTCATTGAATATGTATCTTTAACCTCTTGCGTGGGACCTTTTGACACACAGTGGTTGTCTAAGCGGCTTAAGCTTCGGAGTGAAGGCATCCTTCATTCAACTGGAGAACCCCCACCCACTCTGCCGATCTACATGGGCCAGAAACAAACAATGGAGCAAGTACGCTGCTGCATGCTCTTGTCTTTGTACTTACACTATGTCTTGAGGGCACCTGTTATACAATTTCACAACCAAATCATGTCCGAAGACCTCACCAAGAGAAGTTGACAAGGGTCTGATGTGCTCCTCCAAGGGTTTCACCGGCTCTTGCACCGGGACGGCTGGCTGGATCACCTCAGCAAGGAGGCCAGGATTGCTCACAGCGAGGTACGAGACTGACAGGCATGGTCTGTCCAACGCGAGAACCAAACCTCCCCACCAAACCTGCCCCTTTCGGTGTTCCTGAGTCATCCATGTTCCGGTCATTACTCCCAAACATCCAAGAGCAATGTAGGGACAAAGAGGGAGTGTGTGTGTGTGTGTGTGCGTCCTTCACACCCGCCTTCACACCGCTTCCTTTTCTCCAGTCTTCCTGGACATCGAAGCCGCGATTGTTCCGCCGCTGCGTCACTCGCTGCGTCACTCCTTCCGCGCCAAGACCAGCAGATCCCGACAGAGGTAGATGTTCCCCCTCCGCGGTGTGGAGCTCGCCAGCACGCGGAAGCCGGTGCGTTGCAAGAGGCACCTCCTTGGAGTCTCAATGTGGAGGCTCTGGGGTCGGATATAAATGCGGAGAACTTCGAACTGGTTTCAAGAGATGAGATATGCGCATCACAGAAACAACTGAACCAAGCCTGCTGATTGCTGCATCCCTGCAGGTGATGCTGCTGTAGACCCTTAAGTTTCTAACACGCAAATGCAAATAGCAACAGTGATTTTGTCTGTGCGTCGCGATGTCAGGGGAGACGAAGTAGAAGCCCCCGACGCTGTAGTGCTTCTGCCGTGCAAAACGGCGCCAGCCCTCTGGTGCCAAGAGGTTGGCGAAGGAGACAAAAAGGAGGCCACCTGAGGTCAAGTGCAGACCTACATTCTGCCGTTTATAGGCCACCTTGGCGCATCTTTACATTTCTCTCAATTTCACCACCATCTTTCAAGTTTTTAAGGATCACTCCACCTGCCTGCATGCTTGGGTATGACGTGACGCCTGGATCCTCCATGATCCTCCCATATCTCCCATGATCTGGGTCCATCCGCAGAGTTGAAATGCATCATCATCGGTTGTTTCTGCCACTTGTACTTTCCAATCCAACTAGAACATTGTGTCACCATGTCTAAAGTCTAGAGGAAAAACAACTGGTCAACCCAACCGTGGTCTCTTGGGTGCCCAAAGCCGCAATCCCACTGCCACTGGCAGACCCAGCATACTGACAAACAGGATACTTGACCTGGACAGTTGACGCACCCTCACTGCCCTCGTCTTGACACGGTGGAATTGGCCCACCTGGCCGCAAAATGGACTGGATGCATGTCAGCGTGTGTCGCATCTCATGTAAATCCATGTGCACGAACACATCGAAGGAGTAGACCACATCGAAGGTTTCATGGAATCGGGCAGGGTATGGCGCATCGCCCTGCAGGAGATGGAAATCCACCTGGCTAGGTCGGCAGAAAAGATGCCAGCTGGGACCCCACCTGCTTAAGCCAAAGATTCTACAAGATCCAACACCAACTAAGTACTTCAATGTTTGGGCCAACCATGGCACGTTTCCATGCATCTCCTGGAGCTTCTTCTGCGCAGTCTTCAACATCGTCTCACTGATGTCAAAGCAAACCAAGCGCCCAACCTTCTCTGCCACCTGAGCGGCCACTCGGCCACCGCCACTGCCGATCTCAGCCACTGTCTGGGTGGTGGCCAAGTGCGGAAAGAGCCACTCCTAGCGCGTTCAGAGGCGTTCAGGCGGATGCTTTAAGACAGGTGACAGGTCCAAGACAGCAGTGCTACGCTGTTGGTATTGGGGGGGGGAGCCCATTGCCGGGCAAAACACCGGACTCCAGACCCGGTCACCACCACTTGCGATGTCCAGACCCGGTCCTTGAGGACCTCGGTCAGTGACTCGGCATCGGACCACTCGTCGCCGACAAAGGCCAGCTCAGCGGACGGCTTGGACACGTCCTTCGACATGCGCTGCACCCATTCAGCATCCGTCGCCCAGCTCTGCGCATAGGCATTCCAAAGCTTTCGGTTCGTCTCGAAGTTGGGCGTATCTGTGTAAACCGCACACTGCTGAAGATTCTTCAGCAATTCCAGCACCATGGGGCTCTGCTTCTCGGCCGATTTCCTCAAATGGCATCTCTCATCCTGTCATGTGTTCCTTTTTTTTCATTTCAGTGATCTGAACACTTCAATGCCCACTGGGCCCAAACAGCACCCCGTTCCGAACTCCCAGCTCGGCCACAGCTGGCGCCAACCCGACTCTACGCCCAGCATCGCCGCAAGGATGGCTTCAGCATCTTCCAAGCCCCGACCATGTGAGTATCCTCCAAGCTCCTCACAAAAGAAGACCGGAAGACTTAGATGTTTGAAGACTTCACTCCCATTCACTCCCCATCTTCTTTATCCCAAGACCACTCCCAAGACCCCATCCAACATCCGCACCATCCTTTGATCGACTCAACACCTTGGAAAAGATATGAACAGATTCGGTGGCTGGCCCCCTTGGGTGGTCACAAGCCATCTGGAACTCTGGACTCAACTTTTCAGCTTTTCCCTCTCCTCACCCATCACCTCTTCCGCCTCCTTCTGCTGAGGTGGGTCACGTCCTTGGAGGATCTCCAGGAGCCGCAAGGCGTGAGCCTCGTGAGTCTCACCCTCGCGGCGTTGGTACTCCATGGCGGCCCGGGCTCCGGTGAGCAGTTGGGCTCCGATGGACCCGTTTGGTGTTCAAACCAATGCTTCTGTGGCCAAGAGTGTTCAGAGGAAACATGTCTTCTTCGAAATGGATGGAAACCATTACCTGACCTTTTACTTTGCGGGTTCGTGGCTGCTCGGGCTCCTGAGCTTGCTTTGGTGACTGCGTTGAGCTGTTCATTTCGGGGGTTGACGTATGTTGACGTGGCATCGTGCAGTGTTGGGATTCTGGTGCGTTGCAAGGTGCGCTGAGGCTACGTAATGTCGCACTATTCAATAGTTCTGAAGGCATCCTGCAACTGAGAAGGCTCGAAACCAGGTCCGCTCCACAAGAGGCCTTCCAGAGACGATCAGTCACATCCCTGCCACCCGACAAAAACGAGAGACCGTGTCACACTGAGTCATTTTGGTCTCTCCAATTGACACCACTGTTGACACCACTGTTGGTCAGACCATGGGACCAAGGCCATGGCTTGAAGATCTTGAGATCGCAAGAGCTCCAGGCGCGCCTGCTGCATCTCCTGGAGAAAAATACGACGGATGCGACCGGTGACTGGAGGTCCGACTGGGGGCAACGATCCTGGAGGAGGAAATGTCTCCCTGGGCACGCTGGTGTGTCTTCCAAAAACCTTGGGTGATTGGTCCGCAATGTGAGTAATGCGCAGAACGAGGTGATTCAACCGTAGGAAGGTGGAAGATGCTGGAAGGATCCGGCATCATCAATGTCTCCTTGCGCCCTTTTTCTCTCAGTGCACGCCTTCTTCATCCGCAAACCCTAAGATGCTGCGCCCAACATGTCAGGTGAAGAAGGCCTTGGACATTTGAAAGATCTCTCCTTCCAAACAACTTGGCCTTCAGCATCGGCCCTTCAAGGGCTTCTCCCGTGCTGCAATCTCCGTATTTTTCTTTCCAGATCATCGTCTCATTGAGGTCCTTGAAATCAGATCCGAGTCCACTGCTTTCGCATCACGTGCGAAGGTGACCGAATGGTTCCCGGTCTATCTCTAAGCTTGCAGGGCTGAGAGTTGTGCAACTCGGCACGCAAGGCTGGTCCACCTGTGCTGGCGCTGGTAGGAGAGGAACATTCACACCCATCAAATATGGTTTTCTCTGATCGGCTGGCTGCCTGGTCTTCAATGGCTCTCCTCCACCCACTGGGCGATTTCCTCGAAGGCTTGGAGGCAAGGAAGCTCCACCAGTGGACACCCTGCCAGGTGTAGAATGAAGTCCCCACGCTGCCAAGCTGAAGCACCCCACTGCAAGGCAGAGCCCTGGCCATACAAGTTCAAGGCCTAACCAGGCGATGCGCGTCCAAAACGGTATGTCTGGAGATAGGACCATCACTACAGGGGTCAAAACCTGGACTCCCAAAACCTGGAGTCTCTTGTAGTCTGCTCTGTCTATTCTGTTCATTTGGTCGTCAACCAAGGTTTGCCGGCTTTGAACCTACAGCCACATGCTGTCATCTGGGTAGTCTACGGGTGGAAGCGTTTTTGGTGTGAACCGTGTACCGTGTACCTCTGAATGACCTCCAGCATTTCTTCATCGAGGTTTTTCAACCAACAAAGGGGACACGATCAGTCAAAGGCGGTCAGTGTCAAACCCCAAAAGCCAACTCAATCTTGGTTCATTCTCGTCTATCTAGTCTACAGTGACGGACCTTGGGTTTGAAGATGTTTGAAGCAACAATTCTGCCGAATGCAATTCTGCCGAATGCGGCAGGTCATCTCAGTCATCTCACCAAACCCAATCACCACCGACCACTTGGCAGAAAATGACACCAAAAGCCACAGAAGCCGCAAACACCGCAGACCCACCTGCTGCGGCACCACCCCGAAGTGTGGTGCCCAGTCGAAGTCGTGCGAAGCTCCCGTGGTGCGCCACTGATAGCACATGTCATCCGCGTAGAGGTCCGAGTCTCGGGCCATTTGGTCCAACCTCGTTCGGAGGGTTTTTGTTTCACATCAGCCAGGCGGGAGGGCTCTATGACTCTATGTAGCTATACGAACCACTGCATGCTCACCCACTACAGTTTGTATCCAGGCTAGTCATTACAACTGAAATAGGTCACTTCCCTGCAACCCAAACAAGATCAAAACAAAAGGAAGCCTATGACTGTTTGACCGTCTTCGGACGTCTGGTTCCGACGTTTCAGTGGCCCTGTGCTGTAGCCTGCTGGTGCGTTCACGATTGCTGGTGGCCCCCTGGTTTCTTCAGCCCATGTCCTTGCTGGTCCTCAAGTTCAATCCCAATTGAAATGCAGTGCTGCAAACATCTGCAAACCAAATGCTCCAATTCGCAATGCCTGTGCCACATCTACACTCGGCTCTTTTACCTCGCTAGTCCTCTACTACTATCTACTACCTGCAGGTGAAAACCTATACATGCCTGGCCTGGCTGAAATTTTTTGGGGGGAGTTAGTTTGCAGCCTTTCTGAGCATCTCTGGCCCAGGAGCAGCATGGTCTGATCCCAAACGAAGCGCCAGTCGCTGGTCATAGCGGCCCTCAAGAAACGGAGCCCATGCCTTTCCGCACCGCCTGAGAAGACGGACGGATGCCATTCGAGCGATCCGCCATGGGCCAAAAGGGGAAGACAACCGTCACCCGCGGCGTACCAGAAACAAAATCAAGCGTCTGAAGAATCCTTCGGCAGGGAGGCTTTTCAAGAAAGCAAGCACACCAACAACCGTGATGAAGACTGACAAACAACCATGCTTTCAGTGGCTCCCAAAGACCCCCTCTCCGCCCGTGGTGGGCACTGGGCACTGGGCTGGTCCGCCAAGACGAGACCGTTACGGGTCGAACTGTATGGGTTGGTTGCAAGACCTAGGGTATCTAGGACCTGGTGACCTGCTCCTCTGTTCTCCCACTTTCAACTGGGGATGTTCTCAACCACCAACGGTGGTCTAACCAAGAGTTTTGGGTGGGACTTCCCCATCGCCTCCAAACAAAACCCGCCAGGACACCTCCCGGTCCCCGACGTCCGCGCCTTTCACCAGGAAGATGCCCGAGTTGATCCCCGACACCTCCTCCGCCACCACGAAGTGGGCCGCGTGGAGCTGGTAGGTCTCCAAGAGATCCTTCCAGCCCAAAAGAATGCCCAGCGGGATTGCCCAAAATGACGAACAACTCTTGCAACATCGGGGTTTGGCTATCATCATCATTATACTACAAATGTCTGTAGCCACGGAGCCCTTATCTTGCATGTGGAAAAACAAATCAGCACAGGAAGAACATGTGATCTGGTCATTCTCACCATCATCTTCACCCCTCACCCTCATCAACCAGAAATTCCCCCTGGTATCGAAAAGGGGTGTCCGCATGGCAAACCACCTAGATCCCTCGATCGCCAAAGCTCGATCGCGCTCCAGCTCCTCCAGGGAGATGGAGCGATTGGTGACCAAGGCATCACAATCGAGCCAGAAGAAGTAGTCAGGCGGATCGTCCGAACCCAATAAGTCGATGGCCACCTGTAGCTTCCCAAACTGAGGTTCTTGATCGCTCAAGGGGCTGCGGAACAACATCTCATAGTCATAGCCCCACTTCTCTGCGTAGCCTTAGCGATGAGGATCAGTGGGATTGGTGAAAACATGCCCAAACTGGCCCAAGCACCTTGATGAGTGAATTGATGAAAACACCTTGGCATGATTAGCCCTTCAACACGGAAAACTCGCTGCTCTTCACTGAGTCCCACCGACCAAGCAACTTCGATGGTTCTTCTCAGTGACATTGAAGGTGCCGTTCTCCAGGTTGCCTCCCTGGTAGTTGGCATCACACAGTGATCGCACCGCCACGCGGGAGATTCGGCTGCCGGGCTTGGAACGCAGCCAGGGCACAGAAGGCGGGGCAGTGCCTGGAAAGGTGAAACCAGGCCGCCAAAAGAGCTTGAAAAACTAGACGACAGGGTGGCCCGAAAGCAAGTAGGCGGAAGAGAACAAATAGAAGGGAAGAAAAGCGAAGTAACAGAAGATGAATGAGCACTAAAGAAATGAAGAGATGATATATGATGATTCAAAACATTAAGATGAAACAAAATGAGATGATGATGAGATGACACAATATATAATAAAAATATATACATCTATATATATATATATACATTATGATTATGATACTATTATCACGTTATTACCAAATCTATTAATGTATATTCTGTTGCACTGTACTTCGGAGCCCAAACGGTAGTCCCGGTCGATTCTTTTTTATCCAGCGCCGGTCGAGCTCAAACGCTAGTCCCGGTAGTAAGAGCCGCCGAAGTGTGCGAAATCGCACGTCCCAACCTGGCATCAGGACAACCAATGCTCATACAAATGCAACACTTGAAAAACAAAACAAATTACCCACAGTTCAACTCATGTTGTTTTGTCGGTTATCAGATATAGTTGCACACCCAGTCGGAACAGGATCGACTTCGAACAACTCTCGGTCGTGGATCTCGTGCCTTGTGGAGTCTCTGCACGTTCAGCTGGAACAAGGGTCGACTTCGGACAACTTCCGGTCGTGGACCCAGGTCCTTCTAATCAGTTTGGTCACGACACTTTGCAATAGCCAATTCACAGCTTTTCGCCGATACTTGTAACTTCGTGGCTGGTGACTATATGTGGCATCGACATGCCGGCCTCCTGGAATTCCATTGCGTGGTGTCCACTTTCATTTGGTCCCACTTGTTGCCGCTCAACCTGTTCAAAAGACTCAATGTCTCTGGAAACGAAACTGGTCTTTCAGGTCAAATCACAACAAGCAAAGAATATCATTCAAGTCCAACAATCGAACAAAAAAAAGATGTCTATAGAGCTCTGTTTGCACAATTTTATCGGTTATCAGGTATATTCGCGCACCCAGTCGGAACAGGATCGACTTCGAACAACTCTCGGTCGTGGATCCCGTTCCTCATGGGGTCTCTGCACATTCAGTCGGAACAAGGGCCGACTTCGAACAACTTCCGGTCGTGGACCCAGGTCCTTCTAGCCAGTTTGGCCACGAATTCACAGCTTTTTGTCGACACTTTGGTCACGACGTTTCAAATTCCCAACGCCAGGCATGCTTGTGATGCTCCAAGGATCGCAGTGCATACAAGACATACGCTCGTCGCTTCCACGGTCTCAGGCTTGGACGCTGCTGGAGCACACAGTCAATGGCATCCTCGACACTGAGATCCCACCAGATCACCAGCCAGGCGCAAAGCGCGGCGGTACTGCGATTGATGCCTCCAAAGCAATGAAACAAAGGTGTAAACCTGATGTCGTGGTTCCAGTAGTAGGAGGCCACATCCCAAAGAACATGCATCAAATCTTTCCAGAAAGCTAAACATTCACCGGCAGACTGACGATGCTTCGCCAGCTCTGTATTTGGGTCTTTGACTGTGGGATCCTCGATGAACCACCAGATATGAGCGACGCCACAACGTTCAAAATAGGTGGGCAAATCTGACGGCCGCGTGACTTCTTCGTAGTACGGCGAAGTGCTTTGAAGACATCGAACTGCAGATTCGTACTCGCCACGAGGGGCCTTCAACAATGCACTGCTTTGAAGGGCTGTTTTGTTCTGTCCATCGCCGACCAAAACAAAGAGAATGGACTCCTGCATGTCCTGTTCTGGCGGCGGAAGGACAGCTCGAATGGCTGTGGGCGCAGCCTGCGGCAAAAAGATGCTGTTGCCGATGAAGCCCTTCTGCCGTTCCTCTCGAACGAGGTTACCGGGCTGCAGAACAGTGACTTGCAGACAGGTGCGCACCATTGGTAACAAACGTTTGGTGGCCGCTGCCAAGTTTCTCAAAGCTGGAAGTTGTCGACCGATCCACAAATCATTGGCTAAGCTGTACCGAGGAAGGCTCACCATGCTTGATGTCAAGGGACCACAGCATTCTCGGCAAACGTCGCATGGGTCCCTGACATCAGCTGGCATTCGGCGTCGATGTAAAAGGAGCAGCTCCTCCTTCAAGAATGGATGCTCGACCGCCGATGCCTTCAGCTCTGCAATGGCCTCTGGACGGGCCTGTAGCTGTGGCCAACGCTCCAGGTAGCGCTGTACGCCCAGAACTCGACACAGTCGACGTTGTTGCGAAGGTGCAATCTTCTTCACTCGCTGATCTTCCTCTTCTCCGTCCACCGTCTCTGGAGCTCCAGCAGCTGGATCTTGGAACAAAATAACTGGACGCAACTCTTCGCTCCAGAATCTACGAGCACAAACCACACATGCCCGTTCCTCACGCAGTGCTCCATCCCGTCCTGGCTCTCGCAATGCTGCATCCGCATTGGCCATCAAGCTGCGTTGCACAGTCCAAGAGGGAACCTGAGACCGGATCGATTTACCGGACACGTTTTCGAATATGTCTGAAACTCAAAAACTTATCTCATCGAATACATTCATTGTCAAGTTCCTGAGTCTTTAAAAGAACCTTTTCCACAATGACAGATTAGTGCACAAACCCCGCTAAGTATAAAAACACTGATTTTTGAGTCCCTGATTTTTTTAACAAAGTCGGGGATTCAAAAAAACAACGTTTTCCCTAATGACCGGTTAGTGCACAGACTCCGCTAAGGAGAAAAACACTGATTTTTGAGTCCCTGATTTTTTTACAAAAATCAGGGACTCAAAAAATAACATTTTCCATAATGACCGATTAGTGCACAGACTCCGCTAAGGAGAAAAACACTGATTTTTGAGTCCCTGATTTTCTTAAAAAAAATCAGGGACTCAAAAAACAACATTTTCCATGATGACCAAATAGATCACAGAACATCGAATGCACAAGAATTGCCTAAGCAAGTAAAATGACACTAACCAACGCCAGGACACCGAAGGTCCTGCATGATGCAATAATCCAACCACTTTCTTGCGATATTCCACCCATGCTCTTGCAACCTCAGTGTCATTCGAATGAGCGTCCTTGATGTGCTCTTGCAAGACTTCCTTGTCTGCACATTGAAAGTCGCACAACCGACAAACATATCTGTTGAGCTCCATCTCCTCTGTGTCCTGTGGAGTTGAGAGTAATCAAGTGGACATAGCTTCCGCCACACCTGGTATGCTAGGAGTGCATTGCAACTTGGCAGCAAGAACGCTCAATTTGCGCTGAAGAGACAATCCATAAGATTGCAGCGTCGCAAAACATTGTTGAAGAAACACATCGCCGCATTGGAGGACTTCTTGCAATGTATGAAAAGTGCGACTTTTCTTTGCATCCTCTGTCCAGCCAGGTACAGAAAGCATAAGTTGCTCTTCAAACTCAGAACGCCACTGCACACCTGTCGATGAGTCACCTGCTCCAGTAAGACAGTCCAAGGACAACTGCTCTAAAGGTTCAAAATCAGGAGGATAAGCCTTCTTCATGCTTGAGATGCGATTCCTTCTGTCCTTCTCCTTGTAGCTGTCAATCTTCGAAGACAAAGGCCTGTCTTCAGATTCATTCGGCAGTCTACTCGTCCCCGTGTCCATTTGCCACTCCAGCAACTCTTGATGCAGGGACAACACATCGGCATGGACGCCATTCCTTCGCAAGGCTCAAGGGTTATGATGTAAAGCCTTTTACCCAATCGACAACCAACAACGATACTGACGTCCAAAAACTAAAGAATGTACGACCATACCAAACAATTTACCCCTCTACATTCAACGCCCCGACTCCTGGAAGCTCTAAGTGCAGCAATGCGATCAGGTTGATGGAGGCAACGCAGAGCCGTCAACTCGCCAGATGCACGTGGATGCAGAAGTCGCTGTATGACGAACCACAGTGTCTGCAGAAAATCTGCTTTGGTGAACACTTCCTGCCACAGACACGGCTTTTCCGGATGATCTATCAGTTCCAAGCCATACCTTCGCATGAGACCACGTAGAAAGGCCTTGTCGGCATCATCCAAAGCACCCTTGCGCTTCCGAGACTTGCCATCCGTCTCCACTGTGGCCCTACGGCCATGCAGAATTTGTAGAACGGCCTCGCAAACGGATCGTACTACACGAGACAAAACATTCGGTTGAAAGCATTGTACCAAAACACTCCGACGAAAAATGAAGAAAATAAACAGGTACCCTACCTATAAAGAGTCATGCTGTCATGCACCCTCGCCTCTAAAACGTCCTCTTGATCTTCGAAGCCTGTTGGTTCATTCCACTGCCGTTCCATCCGCACTGTCTGCAGATCCCAAAGACGTTCAGCAACATCAAACATATCGACGGAATCCGCAAAATCCAACAACTGTTTCCATCCTGCAACCCAACCAAAAACATTGATGAAAGCAAACGTTAGACAAAACAAACCTGTCAAGGAAACAACCAATAACAACTCCATGTTCTCGTGCTAAGCAAAAACAACCTTCAACAGACTGAACCTGCAGCTGTTTGATCAAACTACCGCCGTCCTTGAGCTTTCACTGGGTTCTCGTGCAACACGCAAGCCAGCAAAGCGATGACGTGCTCGCGTTCAAGGTTGGGAAAGCGCTGCAATGCAGCATCAGCATCAAGTTTTTGCAAGTCAACATCCAGTGTGGCCCAAACGTCCGAAACGGAATTGAAGTGTGTCATAATGCAACCAAGACTACGAATCAATTCCAGCAATGTCTGCTGAGAGCTATAGTGACGTCCCACCAGAGTGTCCATCGGAATGCACAAACACCATGCAAGAAGTTTCAGCCGAAGATCTGCGTCGACTACCTCTGTGCTCAAGAAATCGGCATCGATTTGCTCGCCTGCTGCTTGTCTTCCAAGACAGGACCGAAGCAATCGCCAAGCATGCCGCTGCACCGCGGCGCTGCTGTCCAATGATTCTTCTGGCAGCAAGACGGCGATCATGCGCTCGATCAGCGCCTTCTTAGACAGACAGTCTTCCACACCGACTTCAGCACCCAGCGCCGCCAG